CCTTTGTGTCACATCTCAACAGCTTTCAGCCCACCCCAAAGCCCACCCCGGGCTGCTGTCCTCTAACTGCCCCCAGAGCAAGGCTGGCTGTGTACGGGCAACTGATGCAGGATTCTGGGCCTCTGAGATGGATGCCTTCAAGCCAGGGTTTGGAGAGCATCATCGCACGGGGAGCGAGAATCCGGCTCCGGGCATGAGCTTTGACTTTGAGCAGGATTTTCAGCCAGACTCTCAGCAAACACACTCTGTCAGACACTGGGGGACACAGGCCAGCCACGTGTCAGCTCGCCAGAAAGAGACTTGAGGTGGGAGAGGGAAGGGGCCCATAGAGGGAAGCTTCCCAGGGTCCCTCATTGTCTCATTCAAACCAACGCACAATGAATGAGAGCCATGTGTCCAACACTGTGCACGGGGCAGGGGACACAGAGAACAGATGCCATCATATCTGCCCAGTGAGCTACTAGCCTGGCCACCTATAGCAATGGCTCTCATCCTGGGTACCGTGCCTTTCCTGGGGGCACCTGCACCCGCTCAGTGACTTGAGATGGAAACCAGAGAGTCACTTGGGATTCCTCTTGTTCCCTTTCCTCATGCCCCACACCTGCCCCCCCCCCCCCCCGAGAGCTCCTTCCCCCAACATTTCCCAAGGCCCTTGTGTCTTCCCCCTCCGGTTCTCCCCCCTCCTGCCCCAGCTGCGGCAGCAGCTCCCGGGATGGCCTCCTGCCTCCAGCCCTCCCCCTCCCCTTTCTCCTCTGCGTTGGGAGAGAGACCATCCTAAACTGCAAATGGCATTCAGAGCCCTAGGGGCTCCCCACTGCCCTTAGGATGGTGTCAGACTCCCCACCATGGTTTTCCAGGTCCTGCCACCCAGAGGGCCCCTGTAACACTGACCTCTCCCCCCGCACACACACCCTTTCCCACCTCTGCACCAAGGCCTCTCACCCTCAGCGCTCCTGACATTTGGGGCCAGATAACTCTTCGTGGTGGGGGCCATCCTTGCATCGCAGGATGCTCAGCTGTACCCCTGCCCATGTGCGTTAGATGCCAGTAGCACATACCCCCAGTTGTATCCACCAAAATGATCTCCAGACACAGCCAAATGTCCCCGGGGCGGGGCGCGGGGGAGGGCAAAACGTCCCCAGGTGAGAGCCCCTGCTCTAGACCTTTGCGCATGAAAGGCCCTTCTCCTTTCCTTTCACTCGCACCTGGCTTCCCCTCAACATCACATTGAAATTCGATTCAGCTGCATCCACTCCCAGACGGCTCCCTGGCTCGCCCAGGCCGGTCTAGGACAGCCTCCGCAGACCTTCCCACCCTCACACTTCCCTGTGCACCGTCAGCCACTGCTCCCATCACACTGCATTCCACCGATCTGTTGACGTGCTGTCACCCCCTTTGGAAGGTGGGGTCCTCAGGAGCCACCTTCTCCAGGGCGTGGAAGCACTGACCCCACGGACCTGCAGAGGCACGACAGAGCGGCGAGCTGGGAGACCACCCAGGTGGGAGCGATGGCTTCTGACCAGAGGCAGAAGAGGCTCTGTGCGGAGAAGCAGAGACACAGCGGCAGAAAGACGGGGTGGGGTGTGGGGGGCAGAAAGACGGTGGGGGGGTGGCAGCTCCTTCCGGGTGCGGGGCCTTGCAGGGAACAGATGGACAAGGGTGACGAGATGGGGACATCAAGATGAGGCTGGGAGGTGGCATGGCTGGAGCCCAGCGTGGGGCCTTTGGGAGAGGAAACTGGAGGCCAGGTCGTGAAGACCCCTGCATGTGTTCTGCAGCCCAAGATGTATTCAGCAGGATGTGAAATTGAAAAAAAGAAAAAGTTTGGGAAATGCTTTATTAGCAGTTAAACAGGTTTCTTTACTGAGGGACTTCTCAGAGCCTTTAATATGCTCACAGGCTGGGTGAATCTTTACACGGGAGAGACCCGGCGAGCAGTGCTGCCCACAGGTAATTGTCCTGTGTTTTTTTTCCCAGAGCCTCTCGAATGGTCAGTGTTCCACATTCTACCCTTTGGAAAATGCCGCCTGGAGCCGAGACACATGAGCTGCACCTTGAGGAGTGGGTACAAGGTGAGGACTACCTGGGTTTGGGGACAGGGGTCCTGGGGGTCGTTCGAAGGCCTCAGAGCCAGTGCTGGGGCCTCAGCCACGTGGCTCCTCTCCCAGCGCTCGCTCCCCAGCACCCGGGGTATCCGCAGTGCTGAGAAGTAACACAGCCTCCTGGGAGAGTGACTGCAGGAAGGACTAGGACGGCAGCGCAACACTTATTATTGGAAAACAGTCAACCCACGGGACCGCTTCGACCACCTTCCCCAGGCCCCTGGGCCATAACATATGCTGTGGTTTAAATTTTTTTAATTGAGGAACTTAAGGAAAAAATGCTGGCAAGCTCTGAGGCACCTGTGAAACGGTCTGAGCTGCCGGGGAGGCTGGGCCCCACCCCTGCAGGAGATAGAGGCAGCGCTAAGCAGGGGTAGGGAGGGGCCCCGACTGGGGTCTGTGAGAAGAGGCTTCTGGTCAAGGTCGGCCGGCGGGGGGAGAGGGAAATGGCCCCTGCAGCAGCCCTTGGATAGGCCAAGCGAGGCAGCAAGGCCAGGCAAAGGCACAACCTCATCCTCACCACGGATCCTGGCCAGGCCAGCAGATGCGCGGGGGCGGGTGGTGGACACAGTGCAGCACAGGGGCAAAGCCAGAGGCTCTGGGATCACCGCGACCTGGGCTCAACTCCCAGCTGTCGCCTGGGACAGTGACAGCACCTCCTGAGGCTCCGTGTCCGCGCAAGACGGAGCCAATAGAATCACATCACACGGTGACAGCCAGACTAGGTGAGACTGTGCCTGCACACACTGGGTCCTCAGTATATGTTAGTTGCCACTGTTTGAGGGGGAACCCCAGCAGGTGGGCAGCCCGAAAGGGGGGCGCAGATGGAGAACCGGACGGACAAAGCTGAGCCACTGTGGAAACCACCTTGGCCGAGGGCAGCAAGAGTCTATCAGCTGCGCGGCCGTAGCAGGTCACTCCCTGCTCTGGGCCCCGGCAGCCGCCTGTAAACAGGGCTGTCTATCCACCTCTCATCTCATGAAGGCCAGAACCCTCACAGATAGTGTCTAGTTGGTGTCTGGGTTGCTTTAGGTGTTCAGCACTGAGCTGTTCTCTTCCCCCGGGGGTGTTTACGCCCCTCAGGCCTGTTATGCCCGGAGTGGACTCCCTGTGTCAAGTGGTGGCCAGGAGACCGAAAACATCCCTGCAGCCTCTCAACAGGTCAGCGGCTGCGACTGCGGGCAAAGGGGGACCCTGCTCAGACACGTCTCCTCCTTGACCATTTTCAACCTAAAGACTTTCAGGCCCGTACCTGGAACAAAGCGAGGCCACGCAGCCTGGTGGCCCTGCAGATGGAGAGGGCAGCCAGGTGTGCCCAGGGCCACGCCTTGTGCAGAGCGAGCCAGCCCTGTCCAGCGTCTGGAGGAGTTTATGAACATGAATCCACTCGCTTCTGAAAAGTGCAAAGGCCCTGGGGTTGCCTGCCATTCCATTAAGAGGTGTGTATGATTACGACGGCAGCAGAAGCAGAAAAGGGAAGCAACTGGGGGTGGTGTCTCAGCAGGAGCAGGGGAAAGGGACACGGAGACGCCTGTGGGGTGAGGCTGGGCTGGCTGGGCAGGCGATGGAGGCGAGCACACCTGCTCTGGAGCAAGGCTCAGTGTGGCATGGGCGGTCCTCGTCACGCACTCAGGCCCCTGGGACCTCCCTAACATCCCAGGGGGCAGCGAGGGTGTGAGGTGGGAGCAGAGCTGCCAAGGACCTGTGACCCCTGCCGAGAACGACAAGGTGACTCAAGGGACTTCCGTGCTGTGTGAATAAAATATATAACACTGTGCAGAGGGGCTTCCCTGGCGGCGCAGTGGTTGAGAATCCGCCTGCCAATGCAGGGTACACAGGTTCGAGCCCTGGTCTGGGAAGATCCCACATGCCGCGGAGCAACTATGCCCGTGAGCCACAACTACTGAGCCTGTGCGTCTGGAGCCCGTGCTCCGCAACAAGAGAGGCCGCGACAGTGAGAGGCCCGCGTACCGCGATGAGGAGTGGCCCCCGCTCGCCACAACTAGAGAAAGCCCTCGCACAGAAACGAAGAACCAACGTGGCCAAAAACAAATAAATAAATTTTTTCTTTTAAATGAAGCTAATTAAAATGAAGCTTTAAAAAACAAAACAACAACAAAAAAACTGTGCAGAAACCATCCATATGTACAGGGAGAGGAGGAGGCCTGGATGTAAACTCGGAAGGAGCTACTGTGGGTTTAATCCCCTCGTGTCACCCTGGATGCCTTCAGCAGGGGCCTTCAGCAGCCCACCTGCTGCTGGAGGAGCTGGTGTGTGTGAGCTGGACTCCTTGTGTCCACAGTCCCGCCTCTGACTCCTGAGTGGAACTCAAGCTGAGGAGCCGTAGCATCCACGTTTAACTGTATCCAGCGCCCGTGCCCCCGTGAGTGCACACAGGCCACGGGGGGGACCCCGGTCCTGAGGCCCTTGAGCGTCCTCCAGAACACTTCAGAGTACGCTGCACCCTGCTGTGTGTTCAGCTGACTTTGCCTCTGCCGGCGCGGCTTCAGCCAGCCCCTTTCCTTCCCATCAGCCCTGGCCCCTTCCCGTCACGCTGACCTCTCAGAGCCACCCCCGCTGTGCCCTTTCTTCTGGGCACTCTGATCCCTGCCTCAGCCGAGCCTCCACCTGTCCTGCCACAAACGCCTGGGTGTGAACAGTGGGAAGTATGAGGGCCCCTGGGGGGGACTGGGCCCCCAAGCAGCGGGCCTCCCCACCCCAGGCCTGGTGTGGCCTGGACCACTGCCTTGGCCTGGCCAGGCTTGGGTGCCTCTGGAGGAGGATGAGAATTCTGGATCTGGAGACCAATGGCACCACCGGCTGGGCACTCCTCACATGGCCTGGCCCAAACCTGGGGGCCCATATTCCTCCTGCTTTGGGGTTTGGGCAGCCTCTTACCTTTGGGGTGAGGTACTTGGTCATAATTTCCTTCCCTTTTTCTCCCAGTTTTTCATCCGGAGTAACTTCATATTCTGCCTAAAACAGAAGAAGGAAAAGAACAATAATAGATTTGTTCACGACCTCCTCATAGTTGTAGAACCTTAGAGGCCCCTGGAGAAGACACCCTGGAGGTCATGTGATCAATCCCCTCCTTCTACAGGGCAGGGACTGAGGCCCAGAGAGGGGAGGAGCCCTGACGTCCAGTCCAGCCTACGCTGCTCCACCGTGGACACATGCTCAGAACTGGGGCGGCACATAAGAATCACGGGGGAGCCAACGATGGTGCTCGGGCCCCGCCCCATGCCCATGGAGTCAGACCCTCTGGCGATGGAGGCCGGGCACCCAGGCAGCTGGGGTTGAGAACCACCGGCTTCGGAAAATCAAAGGAAGCTGCTGGAAAGTAACTGGAGCCACCAACCTGGACGATCCTCGAGAGAGGCTGCCTGAGGTCACACACCTTACAAGCCGTGTGACCTCGGACTGTTTCCTCAACCTCTATAGAGTGCAGATGGAAAAAGCACCTACGTGTAGGGTGATTGTGCAGAGAGAACGTGACAGAGATGGGCACATAATCAATACTCATTGTAATGACTACACCTTGCAAGAGAAGACAATAATATGCATTCCGTAGCTTTTACAGCTTTTCAGTTTACAAAGGGAACATGCAGAGAGATTTCAAATGCTCTTATATGAACCTAAAAGGAGCCCAGGTAGTGACACAGGAGGGCAGGGGCTGCTGTCATACCCCTCCATCTGCAAACGAAGAGCAGAAGGTTCAGCAGAGTCGCCCAGGGTCACTGGGAGGTGGGCGGGGGCGGGGGGCAGGGGCGGGGCGCTGCAGCGAGGCGGCAGAGCTGGGACTTGGACCTCCAAGCCCAGACCTCTTTCTCAACAACACCAAGGGACTCAGGACCCCGATGGCTGGCCAAGCCAGTGGGACCCGGGCTCTAAAGAAAGAAGTGAGTCCTCAAAAGACAGACTGTGTTATCTTCCTTGACCCGAGAGAGGCTCCTTCCCTGGCATCTGACCCACTTGCTAAGTGGGTAAAAGGCCTCCTCGAGTTAAGGAAGAGCTTGGGTGAGCTTGCCCTTCTCATTTAAACAAGGGAACTAATTGCAAATTGTTTATAACCATTTCAAAATCCACCACCCAAGGACTTGTCAGCCTCCGTCCAAAAGTACAGCTATTTCAAAAGAGACAGGAAATGACATCAGCACAGAGGGACTGAAACTCCTTCCCCAGCCACCTCGCTGGGAAGTCAGACCCCAACCTCCGCCCCCCACCCCCTGGCCTGGTTCAAAGCAACCTCTCAATCCAGTGTCTAGGGTCCAATTTCTCCCCAGCCCAGCCCGGAAGACCCTCCCGGGCTGGAGCTGCAACTCTAAAGGGGCTGAGGGTTCTAGAGTACAACTGCCCCCCCTATTTTCCAGGGGGGAGAAGAGAAGCTCCCAGTGTCCAGCCACCCTGGAAACCCCTCCTGGTGGTCTGGCGCTATGGGAATTTACCCAGACTGCTTTGCAGGGCCCAGGCCACAGGCAAACGCCTGACTACCTTTTGGGGGTAACTCAATCCCATGCAGAACCCTGGATTTGCACTGTCCCAAAACACATCTGTGAAGAAGGCTCTATTTAACCAAATGGAGGCCTAAGGCTCACTAATCAGCCTCAGTAACCAGCTGAAAATATTATTGCTCTGGGTACTAAAACCCACGTTAAAAAAATAACATCCCTTTCAGGTCAGCTCCCTCCCAGCAGAGGCCCGGCTGGGCAGCTGGGCGCCACAGTTCCACAGGGCGGCAGCCGGGAGCACGCGGGGACAGGCATCCCCGGCCCGGCATCAAAAGGCCTTTCTTTGAGAGTCCATGTCAGGTCGCCACCACTTGAAGAGCATTTGTGTTGGGAGGCAGAAAACCAACAGAAGGCTTCCAGCTGGGCTTTCCACACCGATTAAGTCACCTGGAGTGACAGGCCAAGTCTCCACGGTGACCCCCGAGAGGGGCTCATGGGGGACCCGTCCTGAGAGGCCACCTACAGAGAAAAAGCACCATGGCAGCTCGGCTGGGCAGAGCTCAGGCCGATCACACAACCAGAGGCAGGGGACCACCCGGGAACCCGCTGCTACGGGAACACCCTTGCCCAGGTAGTCGGCCAAAGCTGCTGAAATCAGCTTCAACCAGAAAACATAGACAGCAAATAAGAGGCTGGGCTGGGCCAGCAGCCTAGAATTTTACTATTAGAGTGGGCTCTGGAAGCGGCAGCCCGACAATGACTTCAACGAACAGAGAGGTGAACCACATGCCAGGATGCCCCCGTGACCTCCATCCGTGAGAATTCCCTCCAACCAGGGAGGGTGGTGGGCTTGTCCCCTCCTCCCAACAGAGGGGACACACACTGTCCTCCCTGCCGTGTTGCCCATCTGAAACCTTCTCCTGCCCAGAGCTCAACCCTAACAGCCAGAGCGCCAAAGAGCTCCTGTGCCAGTCCACGCGGAGGGTATTTCTCTTCCCCAGATACATCCATGGTGCCAACGGAGGCAGGCATTTAATGAGCCTTCTCTTTGCACGGTGATTTATGCCAAACACAGGAATGGCCTTTGGGGAGGAGATGCTGTAACACAAAGAGCAGAATACTACATTGAGTTTAAGGCGAAAAGAATTATTTACGTATCTGTACTTGCCAAAGAGTATAAACATCTGTGTACATCCTAGTTTATAAACCTAATATTTCATTCTCTCTCTTGGCTGGCTCTAATTGCATCATCCATCTCAGAAAATGCTAATAAAAATACGTCCTCTATTAAAACACATTTCCCTCAGATGAGTTTTTAAAAACATGAAGACTGCAAACCGGTGCAAGGGGCCCTGCCACGTTTCCACAGAAGCCGGCACTGCTTTACAGAGCGAGTCTGAGCTGAATTCCTCTCGGCCTCTGACCAACTCGAGATGTCACCTCCTCGTCCCGGGAGCCCTTCTCCTGCCCTGGCAGGAAGATGAAATCAGAGAGGCTGAGGTCTCGCCACCTCCGGCTTCTGTAATTACCGATGTGGTCAGCTTTTCCAGAGTCCTCGCGGCAGGGACAAGTGACACGCCCGGCTGGCAGGGCTGCTCCCCATGGCTCTTTCTGGAGAAACACCCGGCTCCTCCCACCTTGGCCTCAGCGTCTTGCTGGTGCCCGATCATGGGGGTGGGGGTCTCCGTTTGCCCCTCTGGAGTCACTCCCCACCCTGGGGGCTCCCTCGCCGCCTGGGCACCCGGGTTCCTGGACCCCCTTCTGAAGACCCAGCTCCTGCAGCTGCCTTCTCCCACTCCTTCCTGTATCGGCCCCTCCCCTGTCCCTGCAGAGCTGCAGGTGTGTACATCAGCCAGTACTGCTTTCCCTGCTCTGCCCAGCACTCTGTCAACCGTCCTCATTAAACTCTAGTTCATTCACACATGAGCGAGCCATCCATCTCCGGCCAGGCCCCTCACTGATGCCTGAACAATCCTTCAGATGGCTGGCATCGCCTACCCCCTCCCAGCGCCCCCAGCGAGAATGAAGAATGGGGGTGAGACTGCAGATGGGGGTGTCCCCCTGGGGCCCCAGCATCAGATGGGCCTGGTCAGTTCCACAGCCTGTGCCCACCTGGGCAGACAGAGTGTTCTCTGGTCTCTGGCCGCCATGTGAGGAGCTCTCGGGCCTCGGTCAGGAAGGGATTCCATGGCCCAGGTTTCAATGGGATGGGCCCAGAGAAAGAAGGGAGGAAGGAGAGGACCCCTGGCCACGCGGGGTACAGACAGAATGGTAGGAGTGACCCCAAGGGGGCGGCACCACGGCCACCAGCTTGAGAGACATATCTTGGCGGAGGCAAACTCAGAAAAGAAGTTAGGAGGAAAGGGTGCTGACCCTCTCTCGGGGCAGGGGTCGGGGGGAGGTGACAGATTTACCAGCCGCTGTCAGAGAGCACAGAGGGGCTGTGCTCTCACCTGCTGTGTGCCCATCATTCAGAGAGCCTCCGCCCGGAGTGGCTCTGTGCCACCCCCGCACCGCCCAGCTGGTCCTCCTCCTGCAGCCCCTGGAGTTATTTCTCTGTCCTCACTCCCTCCCGCGCTCATAAGGCCACCGTGCAAAGGTCTTTGGCTCTCCCTGTTATTCTTTCAATTCTAAGTGAAAAGAATCCCAACCTAGCCTAATTCAGGCAAAACCGTAATCTCTGGGCTCCTGGAACCCAAGGATGGGTTGAACAACCAAATTGTGGGGAAAATGGAAATGCAGCCTGGCCCAGAGCACCAGGAACCAGGGACATGAGCACTTCTGGAACCCACTCTCACCGGGGTATGTGTGTGTGTGTGTCTGTGTGTGTGTGTGTCTGTGTGTGTGTGTCTGTGTGTGTGTCTGTGTGTGTGTGTCTGTGTGTTGGCCTCATTCTCCCTCAGTGCTGCCTGGCTTGCTCCAGTGGTACAAAACCTAGCAGCCAGGTTTTTTTTATTCTAAGCCTCCTCTACCAGAGAAGGACTTCCCCTCAAATCTATAAACCCCAGAGAAAGGACTCATTGATCTGCACTGGCTCACAGACTCATCCCTGCTCCAATCAGCTGTGGTTTTCAGGCGACAGCATTAAGAACATGGCAGCTTCTACGAGAGCCATGTTGTCTGGGAGTACAGGTGGGACACCCAGGAGACTGGACAATCCCACAGATGTCCAGTATACGAACCTACTTTTTTACAAGTGGTACTTTTTCAAGATGACCCTGCTCCCAGGCTTTACCAACTGCGCTGAGGGTCTTTATGTCCACCTGAAGAATGATTACCACCCTCCACCCTCCCTCTTTTGGGAGATCACAGCAGTGATAGAAAGACAAAAATAAATACTGGGTATGATTCAAAAATAAGAGGAGCAGAATATTTAGTTCTGCTGGTGAGGCATTTCAATTCATTTTACAACAAAATTCCAGGATAACCGGACATATCTGAAACCAGGTGATAGCCCACTAATTTCACATGCCATAGTTCTGGGCTAGAGTGACTTTTAGCATTTCCTGATGTGAGACTCCATTTGTA